AATATTTTCATGATGCATAATTTGTCCCTATATGATTTCTGTGAACCAACATCTTAACAATGCCAGCCAGCTTCACCCAGAGTCTTGGATCTCTCTTTGCACCATCTACACACTTCTGAGTTTTATTCTGTACCTGTTAAAAAAATTGTGGTACAATTTACATACAGGCTGTAATAATTATAAATGACACATACACTGCTCATGTGGCACTTCACAGTTTACAAAGTTTCTCCTTAATATCCTTTATCCATCTTCACAGTCACACTGTGAACACTGTAATGTAGTTGTAAGTGCACTAATTTATAAAAACAGAGATTCAGAAATACGTGTTCTTCCAATACAAAACAACTTAGTGGCTTAGGTCAAGTTTTCTGAAATCCAATAATATTTATATCATACCAGTATTCTCAAACTTGAGTAATATATACACCCATATGAAGGAAAAAAAAAATACTTCCACAGACCTCCCCAATGGAAGAGAGTCTGTGATTATTCTTATTGTAATACCTAGTAATTAACATGCATAATTACTTTATTATAAACATTCTTAAACATAATAAGTGAACTCAATATGCTTATACCTCTTGTAGAATTATAAAACTAAAAGTTACAAATTGAATACAAGTAAAACTATAAAATTAATAATGTCTACATTAACAATGCATGCATAGAATGATGCTTTGCTGAATCTAAGTCGTGGCTTACAAAGTTAAGTGTACTGCACACATCCGTCTAAATACAGCATCCCTACATTACCATGTGCAAAGTAAAGACAATTCTCACTTCACTTTCCTATTGTTTCAACTACTGCAAAGTTTTCCACTGCTCCACCCATCTGGGAGTAAGTGGATCATTTAAAATTAAGCTTCTGTGCTTTAAATCAACTTGATTATAAACACAAACATAGAGGCTAAAACCAATGGCAATACTCTGTTATAAGAAGGTTATTGATATCCAGATATATTTGACTTCTTTAAAGATTATCATTTCATTTAAACCACACAATGTTTAAATGCTTACAGAGAAGCTGTGGACCCCAGAGGTATATCTGTAACTCTTAGCTTTCCTTAGATCCCATTTTTTAAGAACATCGATAGATAACCTCGGATGTTCCCAACCAGTTTTGTTGCCTCCGTGAAAATTTTTGTGGTATCATAAACATTACCTGGTGCACATGCTCATTGGGCAGAACCCAATAATAATATTAACCCAGCATCTTGCAGCTGACAAAGCAGTCAGCCACATTCCTCCCTCATCTTCTTAAGAACCTTAGAAAGATAGTAATATTACCATTTTACAAATGAGGAAATATTTATGAGTCTCTGATAGGTTAAGTGGCTTATCCAAAGTCATGAAACTAATTGCAGAGCTCAGCACTTGGATCAAGTTTCTCAGTTCCCAATCCCTTACACTGCATAATTACTTCTTTTTGATCTCTGTGAAGTCCATCAGAGTTTTAGTCCCAGAGAAGGTGCTTTTCACAGCCTACATTAAGTCAGAATGAATATAGTCCAAGGTAAGTCCTGTGATAAACATCTATTCCTGCCTAACCCTGATGAGTTGCAAACTTCTTGACAGTTTTGGCCCTATTTATGTGAACCAGACCACTTAGCTACCTCAGATACTTTTCGGGAAGAAAAAAACTAAAATAAATAAATGTACAGTCTGCTTTGACCTCATGGTTTGTCTTGATCAGACGATGGATACAGAAGAATAGAGGAGAATCTCCAAGTTTCTTCCTGGTGGTAGCCATTTCAAATGTGTGACAACTGGAGAGCCATCCAGTGTCCTATAAACACAGCTCTCTGTGTTTATATGCAAGGCAGTTACTAGAATTGTAATGTCTAATATACTAGCCACCAGTCACATGTTGCTATTTACATTTAAATTTCCTAATTAAAATGAAATAAAATTTAAAATTTAGTTTCTTTGTCACATTAGCCAAATTTCAAGCGCTCGACAGCCACATGCAGCTAGCAGCTACCATACTGGATGGGACAGACATACAGCGTTTCCATAATTGCAGAAAGTTATATTGGATAGCATTGTCCTACACTATCTTATGCTAATAAATTCCCTCAAGCATTGAGTATATCATTCTGACTTCCAGAAAGCTCAGGTTCTTGCCACACAAAAAGCTCCCCTAGACCTCTTAACAGGTGTGACTTGGCGTGGGTTTGGGAAACTACCAGTTACAGCCAAGAAGCAGCACCTGAAAGAATCAGAAAACTCACACTTCACAGCTGACAGCCACAGCCACACTGCCCATTGCCCTCCTCTCTCTGGGGTGGGGTGCACCTGCTAGAATGCTGTCATTGGTGGACAGCACATCCAGCCTCTCTAACTGTCCAGCTCAGCACTGATGGCATCTGAATGAACCTGAGTGTACAATGAGTTACACTGAATGTACAACTGATCCCACTTCATTTCTGGGGCTCACAGGGTGAGAAGGGAAAGGGCATGAAATAAAATTGCATAGTGAGGTCCTGTTCAGTCATGAAGAACATCTGTCTCAAAGCTTCATGCCTCAAAGTTTCTCACATTTGTTTCGTGTAATTATTGAGATTATGTGTCAGACTTGTATGCCCAGGCTCAGAATGTGGTCAGGGAATCAGTAATGTATTCTTCTTTGAATGCTCATTCATAGATTTGTTTATTTGCTCCTCCTGTAAAGGAATCCACAAGGGGACCCAGAAAAGCCTGGCATTGCTTCCTGTCAGCACTACGTGTTCCCCTACCTCAATCTTTTCTGTGCTTCCCTACATACTTCCAAAAAGACACCATAAGTGGGAAAATCTTCTTCAAACACTATTTTGAATGAAAGAAAAAGAAATGGAGACCAATAGATACGGATAGACACTCTCCCTGGGTGGGTATCAATCAGCTTGGCTTGGGTTAGCTGCTAGAGCAGCACAGTCCCATAGAAATATGAGAGCCACATATGCAGTTTTAGACTTTTCAGTAGCCATGTTAAACTGATAAAAAGAAATGTGAAATTAATGTTAATATATTTTATTTCACCTAGTATAGCCAAAATATTATCATTTTTGACAATCAATATACCAAAATTACTGAAGTAGTATTCTTATTATTCATATTCAATCTCCAAGTCTGGTGTGATTTTACACTTATACCAATTATAACAGCACATCTTGATTCAGACCAACTTCATCTTACCTGGTTGATGGCCACATGTGGCAAGTGGCTCCGTGGTGGACAGCGCATGTCTCCAGCAATCTGGCTGTGGGGATGGCCTTCTCTGGTTCTCAGAGAAGAATCTAGTTCAGTGAGTTCTATTTAAAAATTTTTTTCAAATTGAATCCCATTTTAGTAACCTGACCCATTTCTAACATGTATAGGCCCTTTTGTATTTTATTACCATCCCAATGGTGTTTATAAATGTTTCCCAATTACCATAATTACGTTAAATAACACCCAAATATCAGTCCAACCTTTGCTGAATATACATCTCCTCCAAATCAAAACACTACTCCCTTTTCACCATTACGTTTTAGTTCACTTCCAATTTGTGAATTGTGTTCTGTTTCCAACAGATTTGCGCTAATTTTGCAAGAAAGACTTTGTAAACTGTCACAGCAAACAACAACATTTTTACATGCATCTATCTTTCTTCCAAAGGACTTGGGGCTCCAGACAGATTTCAGTTCATTCTTCCTAACTATGTAACCCATTTGGTAGAAAGGTGAGAAAAATAAAAATCAAAATCCAAGGCAGAATAGGAGTTGAATTGTCTTGTTACTAAGATGATTGTCAACCCCAGTCTATGTCTTAGGAAGCAGGGCCTTTATTCTTAGGAAGCAATGGTTTATTTTAACCATGGGCAAAACCCAGCCTTGCTTCGCATTCTCTCTTGGTTCCTGGGCCCATGAAAGAAAATCAGTCACAAGTAAATCTAGCCTCCCTGTTCATTCCTCTGAGAGAGACAGTGGAAGGATAAAAGTCTTCTAAGATTCAGCTTGAATGCAGTTAAACAGAAATAAGCAGTCAGTTACCCCAACCCCAGCATAAAGAGGTCAGGGAGTAAATAAAAGTGTTCAAAGAAGTTAGTTTAAGGGTGTTTATTTTTTAAACCCTCTATCACCTCCAGGCCCACTTTTTCCCTTAGGAAGAGCACCTATTTTAAAAATCTGCATTTTCCTTTTAGTGGGAAATGTTCTTTTTTCAAAGGCTCAACAGTGTCTTGATGCAGAAAAGGTAGATCAAGGCCCAAATGCTGAGACTTGTCGCCCTCCGTGGGCACGTGCGTTTCCTGGGGCTTCCCCAGCGCACATGGGCGGAAGAACCTAGAGAGCACTGCGTCAGGCCGTCTAAGGGGTGAGTACGTCACAGCAAAAGGAACCTTGAAATGCCTGCCCAGAGAATAAAATCTGGAGTTTGCTGGCTCCCTTGGTGGCAGGGCCTTCTTTGTGGGATTTTCAGCTCCATGAAGTTCCCTAGATAAAACTCCTGCTCCTCCCAGACCAGCCTCACCATCCCCTTGGTGGTCCCACGCCACTTCAGCACAGATAAGCCTATGCCAACTACCTCACCCCAAACTATCATCTCTTCCTGAAGGCCTGCATGATGTCTCCTTCTCCCCTTACTATAACACCTTTTCAGGACAACGTTGTCTCCCCACTTAACTGTAAGTTCTTGAGGTCAGATACCAAGATTTAGTCACTCTCAAATCTCCCCATAGAGACTGATACCAGGCCTTATTAATAACATGCCTTTGAATGAGTAAATGTTACCGAAAATGAGAGTGAAAAAATGAGATGACGATGGCCCTGTAGTCATGCCATTCTCGTCATCAACCACAAAACCTTGTAGCCCAAAATGCTGGCCGGTGCCATTATGAGGATCTGCTCAAACAGCCAGATTTAAAACCAGGTCAAGATATTTTTTAATTTTGCATTTTTGATCAAGGTCCAAGTTACTCACCCTAGGCCTGCCATAATGCAGAATGGAATGGAATGAAAAGGCCAAGGAAATGAAGATGAAGAAGAGGATGACATTTATTCACTCAACTGAACACACAGAGCACTGATGGAAAGTACGGCTACTTATATATTCATCTATAATAGCAAAGATAAAAGTTTGTCTTCCAGAAGATGCCTCTGGTTGCTAACCATTCTCTGTGAAGAAGCTCTCCAGGCTTCTGTAACTTAGGACATTGAAGTAGTCATGCAGCTCAGCACAGCCATCTCCCCCCTGTTCTCCGCAGAGCCCAGCAGGTGCAGCTTCTGCCTGGACACGGCTTTCTGGGGATGAGGGAGCACTGAGACTCCGTTCCTCCTGTCCAGCTGATTTCCTCCGGAGGCCGCTTTCCACAGAATGGATTCTAAGAGATTTCTTCTAAAAACAAGCAAATTACAAAGTGAGTATGTGGGGATGTTATTCAAATGTTACTCCCCAATATGACACATATTGAGAGTTATCATGATCTCTCTCTTCCTTTTTACTCACATACATACGGGCAAACTTGTTCTTACCAACATCAATTCCTTAGCCCTTAATTTCTCAACCGCGATACAGCTAGATTTCAATTCTAACCACTCCATGGAAACTACACTTGCTACATACACCACGTGCCATATACCTTGCTACTTCCTGTTCACTAAGCTTAGTGGGGCAGCTTTCCATTCTCTATTTTCTTTTACTCTTTACTGTACTTGACTCTGTTGACCTCTTCCTTTCTGAAATGTTCTCTTTTCCTGGTTCCTATGGCATCACTCTCTCCTGATTCTCTTCTCCTCCTTTGAACCCCCACTATCATCTTCAGCCAAGCCTGCCCCCTTTCTCTTTGCACAAAATCTCCCCAAACCATGGGGTTCCCCATGGTTCTGCCCTCTGCTTTCTCTCACAGTAAACATGCCCTCTGGTTACTTCATGAGCATCTACCTTCTTATATCTACAACTACCATCTGTCCTCTGAAGATGCCCAAATCTCTATCCAAACTAGCCCAGGCTTCTGCCCTGAGCTGCAGACCAAGGTGTCCACCTGTTCACTGGGCATCATCACCTGACAACCCACAGCAAGCTCAGACTCAAATTATCTCAAAAGAAACCATCATATTCCCTCCCCAACAAACCACACCTGCCCTTATATTCACTGCCCTGTTTTATGGCACCAGCTGATCAGAAAACTGGAGGCTGATGTTCAACTCAAATTATCTATAAAACCTCATCCAATTTTAATCCTAGGCGGCTCTGAAATCTAATCCCTCTTTTCCATCTCTATATCTATGTCTTATCTCTCACCTGGACTTCATGCTCACTGTCTCTGGATTCCCTCTTACTTCTAGCCCAACTTCATATGGTCACCAGCAGAGTGATTTTCAAAAATGAAAGTTGGGTCAGTCCATACTTCTGCCTAAAACTCTTCAATGGCTCCCACTGTGTATAGGAGGGTGCTTAACCTGAGATGCACAGGTGGGTTTCAGGGAATTTGTAAATTGCATAGAGAATGTTGCCTAGAGGGACATTCTTCTAGGAAGAAAATCCATACTTTCACTACATTTCCCACAAGAAACTGTGATGATCCACAAAACATCCCTTGTGATGTTCCCACTCACCTTTCCAGTTTACATGCCAGGAAAAATGCTAAGTGCCTTACAAGACTTATTATTTCACTGAAGTTTTCTCATGACCTTATGAAGGTAATGCCATCATAGTCAGCATTTTACAGAAGAGGAAACTGAGGGTCAGCAAAGTTAGGTGGCGTAGCTACTCAAGTGGTGGAGCTGGGACCCAAACCTACAACTGTCTAATTCCAAAGACCATGCTCTGAAATAATGCAATCTATGCATTATTTCTTCCATTTCTATGCTCTCAAGGTCTGTAGCGAATGCTGTTGGTACCTGTCATAGATAATTTTAGGTATCAGCTTAACTGGATTGACGGACCTGAGACAGCTGAAGCCATTTTGGGTGTGTCTGTGAGGGTGTCTCCAAAGGAGATTGGCGTCTTAGTCTGAGTGAAGTGAGTGGGTAAACTCCACCTTTAATGTAGCCAGGCACCATCCAGTCACCTGGGAGCTTGCCTTTCCCAAAACAAAAGAGATGCAAAATTGGTCTTTCTCTCTTTGGAATTGGGATGCACTCTTCTCCTCCTGTCCTTGGACGTCAGGACCCCAGGCTCCATGGCTTTGGGACTCCAGGATTTACACCAGTGCCCCCCACCCTGAGTTTTCAGGCCTTTAGCTTTGGACTGAGAATTGTACCAACAGCCTCGCTGGTTCTGAGGCTGTTGGACTTGAACTTAGACATGTTACCAGCATTCCGAGGTCTCCAGCTTGCTGACAGCCTGGGGTAAAACTCCTCAGCCTTTACAGTCACAGGAACCAATTCCCCTAAGAAATTCCCGCTTATCTATCTATCTATCCATCCATCTATCTATCTCTCCTATGGATTCTGTCTCTCTGGAGACCCCTAACTAATATACAGTTTCTTCTCAGATCCCTCTACCTGACCAGCACTCCCATTATTTTCCAGATGCTGGAGTATAGGCTGTGAGCAAATAGCAGCCCCTTCTCTGGAGAATTGCTCTTTGGGCCTTCCCTGGTAAGCAGCCAGAAATAGTACTGACCTAGGTGGATTTCCAAAAGGCCATCTCCCTGCCTGAAGGTTCAACCAACTCTTTGTACAATTCTTGCTTCAGCCAAGTATCCAGCTGAGACCACATCTGTGCTGAGCTTTCCTCCATTGGTCCTCCCAATACTGCTTCTTTCACTACCTTTCATCTGAAAGCCATCCCAATATGTCAATCTCACCAGAATTTGCATGTCAGGCTCTATTTCCAGGGAGCTGATCTAAAACAGTTGCTACTGGGAAGAGTCCTAGAAGGCAGCCTGTAAGAACAGGATTGGGGAATGGGATCACTAACTTGCTAGGTGGCAACACAAACTCCATGGCTGGTGGTGAAATGAGATGGACACAGATGGAAGAGAACTATGAGCTGGTGCAATGACTCTAACATTTGAGATGTATAGGGTAAATAGTAACTGTTAAAACTCTGGAATTGGGTAAATAATATGGAGTAAATAGTAACTATTAGGACTCAAAAGTGACTTTTGCCAAATTGTACCGATGGACTGAAGAGAGAAAATGACAGCCTCGGCTCTATCAGCAACTCAAAGTGTGAGACTTACAGCTCCTCCTTGGCAGCATTTAAGAGACACACATCTCTCCAGCAGCTGAAGACCAGGTATATAAGCTAAGTGTAAAATGGACAAACTTTAAACAAGGCTGGATTCTAACCCTATGTAAATTTTCTATGCCAAAGTTAGCATCTTGATAGTAGAGGAGGAGTCTCTGAAAACTTGGAACGAGGATCTCTGGAAAGATGCATTTGAGAGCTGTGAACCACCTGCTTCTCTTATGCCATCTGGAGTGGCAGAAGTGGCCCATTTCCCCTTGATGGAAGAGAATCCCTGCTGGGACCTGCCTTGCCTCCCCTATTGGCCATCAGATCCATAATTAGGGTAAAATCTCTAACAGAGGAAGTGCTGGGTCTGCTAAGAAAAGAGAAAGCTTATATACTAAGGGGCGTGGCTAACATCTACTGGCAGGAACTGAGAGAAGATGCCTAGGCATGAATTCTGAAGGTGATGGATTGTGGTGGGGGTTAGAACATAAGACTGGATGAGGGATAATCTGTCAGTATTGGAACACACAAGATTTAACACCCTCACAAGGGCCCCAGAAGATAATTCTGATATACTGCTGTTAATAGAGATGACAACACTGCTTTGGCAAACTATGGAAAAGGAAAACACGATGCTTGGAGAAGCGAGAATGCTAGAATAAACCTACTAAATCAGGAGTTGACAAACTGAGTTTCTTGAGTCAAATATGTCCCATTGCTGGTTTTTGTACAGCCCATGAACTAAAGATGGGTTTTATATTTTAAGTGTTAAAAAAAAAAAAGACTTTTAAAAAGTGGTATCTTATGCACAGCAAAAGAAATAATCAGCAGAGTAAACAGACAACCCACAGAGTGGGAGAAAATATTTGCAAACTATGTATCCAACAAAGGACTAATATCCAGAATCTACAAGGAGCTCAAATAAATCATCTAAAAACACAAATGATCCCATCAAAAAGTGGGCTAAGGACAAAAGCAGACAATTCTCAGAAGAGGATATACAAATGGCCAACAAGCATATAAACAAAAAAAAAAAACACTCAACATTACTAACCATCAGGGAAATATAAATCAAAACCATAATGCAATACCACCTTACTCTTGCAAGAATGTCCTTAATCAAAAAAATTAAAAAATCATAGATGTTGGCGTGGATGTGCTAAAAGGGGAACACTTTCTTTTACACTGCTGGTGGAAATGTAAACTAGTACAACCACTGTGGGAAACAGTGTGGAGATTCCTTAAAGAACTAAAAGTAGAACTACCGTTTGATCCAAATTGCACTACTGAGTATCTACCCAGAGGAAAATAAGTCATTATACGAAAACGATACTTGCATATACATATATATATATGTGTGTGTGTGTGTGTGTGTGTGTGTATTCCACTAAAAATATATATATTTCACTATATATATATATTCCACTATATAGATATGTATTCCACTAAAATATATATAAAAAATATATATATATATTTATAGAGGAGAAGTATCTATCTATCTATATATAGTGGAACATATATATAGGTATTTATATGTATATGTATATATATTATATATATTGTATATGTATATATAATATATATATGTAATACATATATAATATATATATTATATATATAAATACCTAATATATGCATTTCTCTTCTATAAATATATATATATATATATACACACACACACATATATATATAAATTCCTGCTTCTCTATCTATCTATCCATCCATCTATCTATCTCTCCTATGGGTTCTGTCTTTCTGGAGACCCCTAACTAATATACAGTTTCTGCTCAGATCCCTCTACCTGACACACACAAACACACATATATATAGTGCAATACTACTCAGCCATGAAAAGAAACAAAATAATGGCATTCCCAGCAGCCTGGATGGAATTGGAAACCACTATTACAACTATTACAAGTGAAGTAACTCAGTTCTCACTCATAAGTGGGCGCTAAGCTATGAGGATGCAAAGCCATAAGAATGATACAATGGACTTTTGGGGACTCAGGGGAAAGAGTGGGAGAGGGGTGAGTGATAAAGGACTACACATTGGATACAGTGTACACTGTTCGGGTGATGGGTGCACCAAAATCTCAGAAATCACCACTAGAGAACTTATTCATTCCCCAAAAATCTGTTGAAATAAAAAATAATAATATAAAAATAAAAAAAGCTTATAGAATGAAAAAGTAATATTTTATTACACATAAAAATTATGTGAAATTAACATTTTAATGTTTATAAATAAAGGTTTATTGGACAGAGCCATATATTCATTCATTTATATATAATCTACAGCACCTTCACATTACTATGGCAGAGATGAATTGTTGCAACAGAGACCACATGACCTACAAACCCAAAAGACATACTATCTGTCCCTTTACAGAGAAACTTTGCCAATCCCTGTACCGAATAACTTCAAATACCCAATAGCTAATTTTGTTGGGTTTTCCAGGGAAGATCCAGAGAATGAGGGGAAAAAAAGCAGCAGGAAAAGGATGTTCCTTTTACTAAGCTGAAAAGGAATGTGCTAGTGAGGGGAGTTCCAGCATCATTGAGAAGTTTGGTGGCATTTCTCCTCTAATGAGCTAGGGCGAAAGTAGGAGATGCTTTTACAGAACTGAATCCCTAGTAGCAATGAAGACGAGGAGATCTCAAAATAGTACAGGACAGATAGCAGTACTTAAGAAACAAAATGGATGTAATTACTGCAATGGGAACCAAGAAAGCTTGATCCATGGGGATGTCAAAATGGTTAACAGAGCATGGTGTACCCAAAAGAAAGGTAGCTGGGCAGCCAACAAGGGTATCGCTTACATACATCATCAAAAGAGATTAAGACTACATGAGAGAAGGCTGAGGCCAGCCAACCCCATGGAAAGTCAAGATCCTCTGTCCAGCTTTAAGGAGTATGAACACTGCTGGTATGGATGCCATCCATTTACCCCTTGGCTCTACTCATGAACCTTCTTCACCCTATTCTGTGCCCTGTGAAGACTGTACCATATGTACTACATCAATGAGTTACCTTGTCTTCCCACCTTAGTTTGAGTTCAGCCAATGCAGAGCAACAGTAGGGGAATAGAGAGAGGAAGGAGATGAGGGTATGTAGTTCCCTTTGTTCTCTCTGCAGGGTGGCCTTGGACTGGTTGTGACCCTCTAGCAAATACTACAGCACTTCTGAAGGAGGCCCGTCCACATAACTCTCTCCACATAACTCTCTCCTTCCAGGCCCCAGTAATTATCCCCTCCATGCCCCTTTGAAGAACTAGGAACGGTTACAACACCTTGCTACTCCTCCTTATGGTGTCCTTACATCCTACCAGACTTTTGGAAATCCTATTATTAAACTGTCTTCAAACAACCCAGTTTCAGAGTACTATATGTGTTCCCTGCTGGAACTCTGAATAATGCAAGTATAAAACGTTTTGAGCAAGGAGAGAGAGAGAAAGAAGACTGGTAGCTATAGCCCAAGTACAGGGAAGAAGCAGAGAGGACTCCAGCTACACAGGAAGCAGTGGAAATGTCAGAGAGGGCAGGGATCAAACACTCTAGAAGGGGAGAAACAGGACTTCATAGCTACCGGCTCCCTCTCTTCACCTTCTTCTCTTTCTCAACCCTCCAGATGACCAAAGTTAGTCCAAGTGCCCAGAATGAAAATTAACTTGTTTTGAATCCTTAACAGGAAAAGTTTTTCAGCTCCTTCTAAAGAACCTTTGATTCTTTTATTCCAGACTATCAGGACACGGCTGACAGCAGAGATTTTGTTCACCAACCACCATAGCAGCTCCCTTCCCAGCTCAGAGCTCAATTTTCATCTTCTTCACCTCTCCCCTCTATTCAATGATTTCTCTGGTCCTCACCTTCCCCTAGAGGGTTCATTTCCGCGTTACGTCTACTGTGACAGCCAACACCTAAATGAAAACATTATAGGTTATTGGCTTTCCCAACAGCACCAGCCACATCTCAGCTACTGCCGTTCAACCAGGCTGCAGAATTGAGTTGTTACTTGAGTGGAATTAGAGTTGGAGGGAAAGTGGGTTAGGATCTCGGGAGGAGGGTCTAGGATAAAGGTAGAAATTATAAACTTCTTGTGTTTCCCAAAATGTTTATGTGCTGACTTGAATTAAGGTGACCTGGGCTGAGCTGACTTAAAGGACCCAAGAGATCAGACAAAACTAGAGGTGGAAACTCTTTCACTCCTCCCGATGAATACCAGCAGCTGATTTCACTGATATAAATTCTGATTTATACACAAATTTCACTGATGTAATTCATGATTTATAAATATTTTACATGAAATATGCCACTTGTTCATCACAACTCTATGATAGAGAGCAAGCAAAATGATAATACAGCTATGGTTCTAATGTGTCCCCCAAAAATCCTCGTGTTGGAAACTTAATTACCATTGTAATAGTATTAAGTGGTAATGCTTTTAAGAGGTGATTAGACCATGAGGGATCTGCCCTCAGGAAGGGATTAACGTCATTATCTCAGGAGTGGGTTAGGTATCATGGGAGTAAGTTCCTAATTAAAAGGATGAGTTTGGCCCCATTTCTCTCGCAGTCTCTCACATGCACTCATTCATTGCATGATGCCTTCTGCCACAGGATGAACCTTGCCAAATCCACCATGCTCTGGACTTCTCAGCCTCCAGAACCACGAGCCAAATAAACTTCTTTTCTTTATAAATTTCTCAATATATTGTATTCTGTTACAGTAGCAGAAAATAGACCAAGACAAATCCGGAAATGAAGACCTTGAAAGATTAAGTAACTTTCCTAAAAGCATACATTCAGTGCCAAAACTAGAAACTAAATCTTTCAATTCCCTGTTCATTACTCTTTCAACCATATAAGCTCTTAAGCTAAAGTAACAGAGGATTTACAACCTGCTGCTCTTGCAATGCACATTTTACCACCAATTTTTTTTTTTTTAGAGATGGAGTCTTGCTCTGTTGCCCAGGCTGGAGTGCAGTCATGGCTCACTGCAGCCTTGAACTCCTAGACTCAAGTGATCCTCCTGCCACAGTCTCTGGAATTGATGGAATTACAGATGTGAGCTGCAGCCCCTGGCCTAACCCTACATTTTTGGAGTGTTTCTTTCTCATTCTACAGACATGCTGGGTAGCCTAGCACTACCAAAGAGTTGTAAAAATCAAAAGAGCTAATGTGCAGAAAGCTCTAGCAGATACAGATGCCCACAATGCATCAAAATCATAGTAGATAAATTAAGCTCTCAGAGCAGTGGCTTAACGGATAGGCAGAAACCAGGAGTTACGGACGACAGCAACATGGGTAGGAAACAGGTCCAGCTGTCCAGGGGCTCCCACCCTTTGAGAGAAACAGGGGAGAGCATAAATCACTGCACTAACAGGCAGAACAAGTGCCAGGAAAATGGCAGAGGGCACTGGGGAAGATCACATCTGGGTATCTTGCTGGGCAGAAAGAGAACCTGAAAGGACCAGGGTGGCAGGGGTAGGGGCGCCCATGGCTGAGATGTGCAGCCAGAGGCATTACCTTTCCAGCCAACACGACCACCCCGATGACTGCTGTGCAGATGACCACCAACGTCGCGGCTGTGGCTCCAAGCAATAGAACCTGGAACCTGGCACTGTGCTCAGCCACTAGAGGGAGAACAAAACAGAGGTGAGTGGCAGAAGCCAGAAGTGAAGCTGATTTCCCCAGGGCAGCCTGAGCTTCATGGCAGAGAGGTGGGGATTGGCCAGGCCCTTTGTGTAATCACAGGACTGGAGCCTTTAAGCCCAACACTTGAGCAGAGTATCCATCTGGCCCATCATGAAATCAATGACTGATCTTTTGAGCAGTGGTGTACCTTGCATATTTGACACCAGAGCAGGTCGTTTTAACACTCCTTTCCTCTCTATGACAAAATCATTTTCGGTAATCATGAAATGAAACAAATAATATGTCCAGAAAAAAACTCAGAATGTGAATATTTTCTTTTATTAAACTTCAAATATAAAATCATATCAATAAAAATATTTAAATCAAAATTAAAGTTAATATTAAATTACAAAAGTGAAAAAACTTGTAACCTTTTACCTTAAGCCTGTAACACTTATTTCCAGCTAGGCTGTGAAACACTCTGGGGTATGAGACTCTGGAGTCTTATCCGTCGCTGTTTTCTCGGCATCTGACACATAGTGAATGCTCAGTAAATACTTGTGGCATACGTGAAATCATGAACTACTGAATTTCATTAAGAGAGAACATGTAAGTGGAAGGAAGAAGATGCAGGAGGGGAGTTTTGAGGAGATGAGTAGGATCTGACCCAGGAAGAGTATGAGAAGAAGAACACCATCACCTTATGCACACTGTGCTGCAGGTGAGTTTCCCGGCTCCCCCAGGAACTCAGGCAGGACTCAGGTATCCAGGAGAGCCTTGAAAGGAAAAGGGGGCAGCAGAATTCTGACACCTTGTCCCTCTAACTAAGGGTTTGGGTTGCTAAAAAGTGGCTTAGGAATCCAATCCATAATAAGACAAGGGTGGTGCCTGCAGAATTCAAATTCCCCACAACATTTCCTCCTGCCTCGAGGGGCTCAGTCACAGCAGGCCAGGATGGCTCCTGGTCAGCCACAGCCATACAGTTAGCTCCGGAGGAAAGAGGGCAGATGGAAGGCAAAGGGGTCAATGGAGGACACACTGCAGGGATAGCTGCAGAGGGCTATCCATAAAACCAGGAAAGGATGTATGATCAGTTTGGGGGCAGAGCCAGATTGGAGCCAGGATTAGGCCTAAATTCTCTTATACCTTGGGGATAGATGAAGATAAGATGGGGCTAAAAGCATGTTGAGGTTTAGGGAAGATTAATATAATGAGTTTGGTTGGATTTAAGGATACGTTAGAGATACAATTAGGACCAGCGTGGAATTTGGGATATTAGGAATATCAATTTTGTTCAAAATTTTTGGTTTGAAATAAAAGCACCAATGTCTCCATTCACAGTTATGGTCATAGAACAAAGATGTCAAGATCTTTGAAACAGAAGCAGTCCTGAGTAAGCGTGACGTCACTACGTGCAGGGTGGGGAAGGGGCGGACTCTGTATAAAGGTTACTTAAACCTTCTACCTATTAACCACGTTAACTTTAGGGTTAAGTACAATATTAGCATTAAGATTAGAAATAGCTTAAATATTACAGATAGTATTAGGATAGGGACTTGGACTAAGGTTTGAGATCAGGTTCAGAAAGAAGGCAGGGTTGGTGCTAATACAAGTAATTAAGGAGAGTTAGCATTCCACAGAAACAACTGACTGCTGGGGAAACAAGAGGGAAGTGCCAAGGGACCAATGGTGTTCCCTGGAGTCTGCCATGGCAAAGGGGTGGAAACATACAGGCTTTGTGGGGAGGCTGCGCAGGGGTTTCCAATAGAGCATCTTCTGATCTCTCTCCCCAGGGGTTCATGAGCCACAGAGAAGAAATCTCCACCTTCATTTCCCCAGGTTCATGCTGGGAAATAGCCGTGCCACTGTGGCCTTGGGGAGGAGTGTGCATGTCAAGTAGCAATGATCCATGAATGGCCTGGCGGGGACATTAGCAACCAGACATAGCTCCCATCTGGTCTTCAGTTGCTGGGACCACCTCCCCATAGGGGCCTTCTGCCCGACTTCCCTCCCTTTTCCTGGTCCTGCTGTCTGGCAATGGGTCCTCTGGCATATGACACTGGGGTAAAGAGCCCAGAATGGTCAAGGTCATCACTTGGTTACTTTGCCGGAATCCAGGTCCCCTGCCCTGCTTACTGTCCCAGGCCTCTTCTAACCACGAACCAATAAATAGCATAAAAACTGGCCCTTCTTAAGTTAAGCTTATTACATGTCTAGCACTGCTGTAAGACCTTGCTTGTATCACTCATGAAAGTATTCACCACATTTTGTCAACAAGAAGATTGAGAAAAAGTACATAATTTACCCAGATTTCATGGGGTCAACAAGGATAGTCAACCCCAGAGAGTGCAAACCAGCTAAGACGTAACATTTGAAAGGAAACTTTAAGGTAACCTTTTATCTTCTCAGTTTACACATATTTTGCAAATCATATGACTTAATCTCCAACATCAGCAGTAAATAGGAGTTCTGAGGGTGCAGTTTAGTAGAATAAAAACATGTGTTAAAATCAGCCCTACCACTCTGAGCAACTCCAAGCCCCAGCTTCTGCCTGCATCAAACAAATGGGAATCATATTAATAGTTAACACTTACATAGCGCTGACCACGTTCCAGGCATTGTTCTAAGGACATTTTCTTGTAGTCGGGAATTCGATCCTACATTAGTATCATATAAGATCTTACATACATCCTATTTCATAGATGAGAAAACTGATACACAGAAGCTAAGAAATCCTGTCTGAGGGCAACGGCAGAGCCAGGATTTGCATCCAGCCTGTCTGGTGTCAGAGTCTGAGCTTTTATCCATGGTGCTATACTGTCTCACAGAGAGGATAAGAATCCTTTTCTAACCTCTGGGAATTGGTTTAAGTGTGCAGGTGGATAATGAATATGAAGGCATTTTGGAAACTTGGAAATACCACACAAATGTAAATTATTGGAAAATTAAACTTAGCACTGGCTGTGCTTTGTTTTTAACCAGCTCTAATCTTTATACATTTAGAGGTTCATTCTAATTTGCACAAATGATACTAAATCAATAAGTGGGAACTTTTGCATATGACCTCATCAACAGTCTTCCTAGGAAATATAGGTAAGATGTGCTTCTTACGTAAGAACAGTGGTTCTCAGTATTGGCTGCCCATTAGAATTACCTGGAAATGCTTTTAGAACCTACCCCTTCTTAGCTCTGCCATTAGGGATTCTGATTGAACTGGTCTGGGTGGGGCCTTAGCATCAGTATGATTTAAAATCTCTTTAGGTGATTCAAATGTGATCCTGAATTGAGAAGCCCTGCTTCTCAGTGTTTCGGGATTGCATTTTCTACGCTAGAGGGAGAGGTTTATCCACCAACTTGCTCCAGCAGGAATACCTGAGCTTTCTTGGACCTCCAGGAAGAGTCTCCCAGTGTAAGTCCCATCAGGGTAGGTGTGATAGATGCAGAAATACTCCCCGGTATCGTTCATGGTCAGCGACTGGAGGGTGAGGCCCAGGCCAGGGCCTGGGGCCACTCGATCCTTAAAGGCTGGGAAGATGTGCCACCCCAAGTCAGCATCGCAAATGGCTAGAAGCTGGTCCTGCTGCTTCCAGTTGACCTGGGTCACTTGTGCCGTGGTGGAGGAGAAGTGACATTGTAAGATGACAGAGCCACTTTTCTCTGCAGAAATGTTCCCCATTGTTACTATGGCGCCTGTCATCATTCCTAGGGAAGAGGACAAAGCACATGTGAGTCCTGGGTCAGCAGCTGGCCTTCAGCCTTCCTAGAAAAACTCTAAGGGGCTTTGAGGCCACAGCTGGGTCTTGAAATGACAGTTTCTCTAGTCCATCCTGTTGCTCCACATATAGACTGTCCTTATTTCCTGTTTCTTCCATTTCAAGAGACGCTCCTCTCCAAGCCTGTTATTCAAGGCTCCCGGTCTCCGTCAGGTTCTCCTTCCAGTCTTCTCGGCCTTCTCCAAACTTCTCTACTCCAGCCCAGCCCAGCCCATCTCCTCCCTGCCCACTGCCCTGTGCTTCCAGAGACTACCTCTGCCCCTCTTTACGCCCCACCCACAGGAAGGCTTGTCAAGGCTGCACTCCCTCCCTGCCTCCTAGAAGACCCCAGCCCATCTCCATCTCCCTTTCCCCTTCACACTCACTGCCTGTATTGTATAATTAGCACCTTACTAAATGCCCGGCTTATGACTACACAACTTAGCACGTTGCCCTCTCAGCATATTCTGCCATGTAGCTTCATGGCTGACTTGTTATTTTCATAGACTTATTTAATCTACCTGCTTAGAACATAAGCCCCTGTCAGCCGACACTGCCTCTTCTGTTTTTGTTTTATTTTGTTTTGTTTTTATGTGTCTTTCTGCAGCCTAGTTCTGTGCTGGATGCATTATCCTTTGAAATAAAACCTTGCTGTTTGGTTGATTGTCATTTGGGGTGCCTGGAAAAACCTTCAGGAAAGCTAAGAAATCCAACAGAAAAGGAAGCTTAGCAGGAAACCGTGTTCTCCCAGGCATAACCTCCCTCTGAGCACTCAGCCTCTCCCCAGCAACCCTGGGCACATCTCCAGCCTCACACAGCTCAGAAAGCAACATCAAAACTAGTTGATACCACGGTTTTAAAATATTTGTGTTCCCCTCCCTCAGAAATAGTTGACTCAGATTTTTAATAGAGAAGAAATAAATTTAACAAAAAATCGGCCTCTAGTGGTAGAATCTCTGGAATCTGTGAAAAACATTTTCAATTTGCAGAGAACTTACAGTGTTTTCCTAGAAAGTTCCTCAAAGGCAACAGAAAAGAAACTGGAGCAGGAATGAGCTTCTAAAAGCAAACTGGCAATGCTTCCTGCCCAGCCCTTCTTCTTCCCCTGCCCCCTTCTTGTGCTAGCCAGCCAGGCTTCCCCAACCCCAAGAGTCTACAAAGTCCTTCATCTGCCACCAAAAACAGAGCCACATCTCACTCTCAGAGATTGTCCTTTCTTATGTGAGAGTACACAGGACTCTAAAAACTGCATTTCTTTCCCTTAAGCTGCCGTGGCACGCATTTGGAGTCTTCCCTGCATAAGCACCCAGTCTCCATACCAAGCTCAGCCTTGTATTCCCTCCCCACTGCTCTGCTGGGTTTCAGGCCTTACCTGAGGTGAGGGGAGCCTGCCTCAGCCCCTGGGCCCAGATCAGGAGGAGACACCACTGCATACTTCTGCCCAGAGGGCCTAGGAAGCAGATGTTGCCTCTTCTGCCACAGGAACTAGCCAACTGCAGATAAGACAGTAAAACTGAGCCTACGAGAAACAAGGGTCTCGGAAAAACCAAGTGGGGCAAAAACCATGTTAAAAACACATAAAGTTCTCAACACGTACACAAACGGCGTAGGGTGAGCCACAAGAAAGGCCATGAAGGAAACATTTAAAAATAAACAAAAAATTGTGGTTAGAGGTACACTCGTCTTTGGGTTGTAATTAGTCAAGCTATTGTTTTTAAGTTTTGTCTTAATGAACTTTTCTAAAAATCAGCCTTTATCCAAAGAGCTCAAGGGCATCTGTGTCCCAAGATTCTGAAGAACCTGCTACTGATGAGGATCTGTTGGCTGGGCTCCCCTGGCATCCTCCTGCTGAGGAATGTGCAATGACAAGAGAAACTTAAAACTGTAGGGACTTACAGGCCAGGGGCTGCACTTGAAATCTAACGAACAAGTGAACAAGAAGCATTTACTTGGGGGATGATACATGGATGGGACAAAGGTATTGGACAAACCCAGCAACTTTCCCTTGAAGGAGATCTCCTCAAATCTTACTTTTTTTGTATTATCTGGACTGAGGCTTCGTTGATTTCTGGTTTAGTTTCTCTGATTCAGTAGAATCAGAGATTAGAGGAGGGAGCTTTCCTGTGCACAACGACCCCATGAGAGTCGGAAATGCAGAGAAGGGTGAGCCCCTGGGGGTGACCCAGGAGAGGGATTGGTTGACATTTGCCTGGAGTTTCCAGCCCATCACCAGCTCCTAATATGGACCCATCCTTCTTTCCTCCCTCCCTCCCTCCCTTCATTCATTTGAAAGTCCCTGAGTACCTACAAAGCAACAATCTCAACACGAGGCTCTGAAGATATGAGAGTAAATAATCATTGCCCTTGCCCTCAAAGAGTTTACGAAGCTTGTTCCCTGGTGAACTCAGTCAGGAGACGGGGTAGAGGATCCACATTCACCTGCCTCCCAGGCTCTCAATGCAGTTACCTTGGGCATGCTCCATGTTGTACATCCTGAAAATCTGCTTCTGCACCCAGAGGCATCTGAAGACTGGTGCCCTGCCCCCTCCATTCCAGCCATGCACCTCTAGCATTTCACACCATCCAGGCCCCTGCCCTCCTTCTCCCCTGCAAGGTCTTCTATATCAGGTCAGCTTTCTCCCCTCCCTGGGTTCTGCCTATTCCCAATTCTATGACTTGTACACTCCTTATCCCCCACCTACAGACCCTTAGACAATATATGCCATACCACTTTCTCTCTGCCTATCCAATTCAACCTGTCCTTCAAGGCTCACATCAAGAGATGCTCCACCACCTTTCAACAGCTACAATTCCTACAGCTGAAGGAGCAATGATACCAAATGTGTGTCCGAGGGAAGGTGCAGAGGTTGAACTGGGGGGATGTTTCCCAAACTCGCTAAGGCGAGGGAGCCAGGAGTGGCAGGGCCAAAAGCAGCTAGTAGTACTAGAGCACAGAAAGTGGTGGACATGAGGATTTGGGCTATAAAAAAATGCACTGCCTGTGTCTCCATCGTGGGTGGGAGCCAAAGACGTGAGACCTGTCTTATGCAATGAGAAATCCAAAGAAACTTAGAGTTGATTTTAAACAATTGTTAAATAATTTTTCTGTTTGTTGCTAAGTAACCAGTCCAAAGAAGAACACGGTCAAGTCAGTTTTGATCAATGCTGCTCTTGAGGGGGATGATTAACAGACTGGGTCCAATGTCATCCTGTCTGGTGACCTTGGAAAACTTTCTCAACCCCCTGAAGCCTCAGTTTCCCCATCTGTGTATAGGAATAAGAGTACCTCTTTCACAGGGTTGTGAGGATTTAATGAACTAGTGTTTGGTAAAGCACTTACACAGTGCCTGGATCATCGCAGGGGTTCAATACACCCATAATAGTATTGATAACAGTATTAATTTAGGAAGTGAAAATTGGAGGACAATATCCTTATCTATATAATGTGTTTTGCCAAGAGTAAAATCCTAGTCTCCAGATGCCACCGCCAGGACTCCACCCAACCTCTTCCTTCTGCCCTCCTTATCTGATAGAACAGGAGGACAGGATGTTTCTGCAGGAAAGTGGACACTTGCCAGCTAGACCCTAAGGCTGCCTTGGAGGAAAGCAAATGACAGAAGTCTCTCTCCAGGGAATCTACCCCAGACCCTTCAGAGCCTCCTGCAGACTCCACGGGGAATCCCTCTGGTTCCCACCCACTCAACACCAGCCCCCAGCGCCTCTAGCAGGCCTCTCTGAGAGCCTCCTGGGCCACCCTGAGCTTTTAGGGCCAATCAACAGCCGCTGTGTCATTGCAGGGACCTGTGAGTTCTGTCAGGTGTTGACTCGCATTTCTATTTTAAAAGTGCTAAAATCAGCCACCGTGCTTTACTCTCTCCCCTGACTTTTGGGGCTGTGAGTTGGACAAGTCTGGTTCACCCTGAAGCAGCTGCGTGAGTACAGGTGCTGGGAAAGAACGTCACGTTTGCCTGTAAAGGAAGTGCTGGCCTAAACTGTGAAACCCTCTTAAAGTCAGCGCCCAGCTCGGCCATCCCCAAGCCCGCCCTGCGCCCTGTGAAAGCCGCAGGCCAGCCGCACTTGCGTCCACAGCCTCCAACCGCAGGCACGATCCGGAAAACCTGTGGCCCGCAGCCCTGAGCGCAGCGGGGCTGGGAGTGGTGGAACATCCACAAGGCCGGTGACTGGTACCCAGGAAACACGACCTAGGGTTCTCCCAGAGCGCAGACCAATCTCCCAGCAGTGTCTTTCGGATTCCGCTTCTCCAAAGTCTTCCCCCTGGCTCAGAAGCGGTGGGGGAGCTCCACAGCTCTCACAGCTGTCTGATGCCCCCTGTCTCTGCCACGAATCAAGGGCAACATCCTGAAGCAGCAGGGGGCCGTGCTCGCCCCTCCAAGCTCCCCACTCCCCGTTCTGTAAAGCAGCGCCTCCTGGTGGCAGGTTGTATTATGGCGGGGGGCGAGAAGGCCCTGCCTCCTGCCTTAGCTCTAAGGAGCAGAAGGGCTGAGGGAGCACCGGAGCCCCTGACACAGGGGAGACAAGGGGACCTGGTCGCCCTGGGCACCAGGAAGAGCCCACCCTGAGCCCCATCACCCACAACTGCCTCGCAGCCTTAGCCAAGCTTCCTCACAGTGGGGCGCTCTGAGCCACGTGGTTCCAAAGCCGCTTGTCTAGAGCTGCCTCAGAAAATCAGGCTCCACGCGAAAGGACTGCCCATGATCTGAGGCTTATTAACAAGCCTGGGAGCCACGGGGCTTGGCTGACCCTGGCTTTCGGCAAACAGTGAGGAGAATCTAGGGGTGGGACCGCTGACTTCTGTTTGTCAAAGCTCCCTCCCGTGAGGTGACTCTGAGGATCTGTCTCCTCCAGCCTCCAAAGCTGCCAAGAAGTTCAACCGACTATGGGAAATTTCCTTCTTCTTCCCAGCTGTGAAAATAAGACAGACACCCCTAGGATAGGTTGGAATGCAGAGTCAGAAGAAAGGTCTTTGGGAAGAGGCAGCTGATCCTCTCTGCTTAAGCCTCTCCTGCGGCCACTCTTCACAGCCCTCCTACCCACTCACATTGCTTCCCTCCTTCTCCTCCTCCATCCTGGACGGGATTAAACTATTGCATAATTAGAAAAATTAGGCAATTACCCTTGGTAAAGCATGGTAAGCCAGCCTTTATCCAGGACCATCATAATAGGTATAGGGACCAAGGCAATGGGATTTTGCCTTGAAAAAGAAAGAGAGTAGAATGATGGTTCCCGGAGGCTGGGAAAGGTAGCGGCAGGTCAGGGGACGAAATGGGGATGGTTCATGGGTACAAAATAGAATTAGATAGAATGAATAAGGTCTAATATTTGATAGCACAACAGGGTGACTACCGTCAACAATTTATTGTACATTTAAAAATAACAAAGAGAATAATTGTATGTAACACAAAGAAAGGATAGATGCTCGAGTGATGGATACCCCACTTACCCTGATGTGATTCTTTTTTTTTTTTTTTTTTGAGACGGAGTTTCGCTCTTGTTACCCAGGCTGGAGTGCAATGGCGTGATCTCGGCTCACCGCAACCTCCGCCTCCTGGATTCAGGCAATTCTCCTGCCTCAGCCTCCTGAGTAGCTGGGATTACAGGCACGCACCACCATGCCCAGCTAATGTTTTGTATTTTTAGTAGAGACGGGGTTTCACCATGTTGATCAGGATGGTCTCGATCTCCTGACCTCGTGATCCACCCGCCTCGGCCTCCCAAAGTGCTGGGATTACAGGCGTGAGCCACCGCGCCCGGCACCCTGATGTGATTCTTATACACTGTTTGCCTGTATCAAAATATCTCATTTTACCCCATAAACATATATACTCACTATGTACTCACAAAAATTGAAAATTAAAAAGAGTGAGAGAACTCCAAGTGGGACGCACAGCCAGGGTGATAGAGCATAAGGACTCAGGGCTCTGGAGGAAGAGCTCCCGAAAACGAAATTCCTGCCTGTTTCAGGGTTAAATTCAAGGCCTCTGACATTTAATGCATCTCACACGATATAGGGTGATTAGAATTAAACTGCACATTGCATTAAAGGAATTGCCAATGGTAAGGTTGTGAGAAGACAACAATTAAAAATTAATTTGGTTTGGCTGTAAAACATTACTAATTTCAGTCCCTTACATGACTACTAAACATTTAAGTAAAAATACTGTTTAGCATAATAATAATTATGCACACAACTGGAAAATACAGTTGGAAATATATAATTAATTTAAAAAGTCATAATAATTAAAGTAGCTTTTCAGTATTTAGCCAAATTCCTTATACTGGGTAGGCAGTTACTAGTCTGAGCTCAGTCTGCTTGATTCCCTGTTGTAACAAATTTCACAGCCCTAATACCATTTCTTCATGTCAATCAATCAACAAACACTGAGAACTTCCTTTGCAAAACTGCTATGCTAGGCATTATGGTTGATATAAAGAAAAATGTTTACTTATGGAGCTTACAATCTAGCTAGATGTTATATACTCAAACAAAAATAATGTAAAATAGAAAGAAAGCTGTAAGAGTGAATGACAGGTACAGACAAGCAAAAGTGGATTTATAGGATAGTCATTTGCATCAGGTAAACAAAGAGGTAGTTTT